AGAGCCTGTCTGCTGAGTTAGGGAGAAGGATAGAGTTGAGGGAAGAGAGAATATGTGCAGAGAGCTAGTTCTAAGGAAAGAGAGAAGTCATTGTTTGAGGAACCTAAGACCTGTCAAGAACTAGCGTAGTGGGACTTTGTGTGGTATAGTGGTTTTTAGTTTCTGAGGCATCTGAAGGTAAGTACCTGAATTAATACTAAAAATAACTGTTAATGGGACACCTGGATGGCTCCGTGGTTGAGTCTCTGCCCTTGGCTCAGGTCCTTATCCTGGGATCGAGTTTCGCAGGGAGCTTGCTTCTGTCTCTGCCTCTCTGCCTCTGTTTCTATGTCTCTCATGAACAAATAAATGAAATCTTTTAAAAATAAAAAATACTGTTAAATTTAACAATTTTTTTTAGTTATTCTTTGATATTCTGGAATATGCTGGCATGTGATATCAAACTCTGTGTGATGTTCATTTCTTGGTATTTTTAGCTCTAAAATGGCCATTAAGAAAAATGAAATTCAGATAACAATATTATGTTTTATAAATTTGGTAGTGTGGCACAATGATTTGAAGCCTAACCATAAATAATAATGAAAGTTGTGATGTTTTATTCTTTTTCAGTAATTGGCAACTTACTTTCTTCTTCCTCCTCCCCTCCTCCCTCTCTTTGAGAGCATGTGGTCAGGGGGGGAGCAGGCTCTACACTCAGTGCAGAGCCCAAGAGATCATGACTTGAGCAGAAATCAAGAATCTGGATGCTTAACCAAGTGAGCTCTCCAGGTGCCCTTCAGTAATTGACTTCTTAAAGAATAGCTTCTCCAATGGGGATTGTGTTACTTACTGTCTTGGGTTATTTTGAAAGATAAACACATTTCCCTCCCTTTGTCTCTCTGGTTTCTTTTGTCCCTGTTCCCTCCTTCTCTTTCTACCCTCTCCCATTCTAAGCATAATGAATAGAAAGCTTTAGTAAATGCTCAGTTTTTATTTTATTTTTTGAGAGAGCATGAGGGAGGGGAGAGTGGGGAAGGGGCAGCAGCAGCAGGGAGAGAGGGAGAATCTTAAACAGGATCCACACTTAGTATGGACCTTGATGCAGGGCTTGATCTCAACCCTGAGATCATGACCTGAGCCAAAAATCAAGAGTCAGAGGCTTAACCAACTGGGCTCCTAAATGCTCAATTGTTTTGTTTGTTTGTTTGTTTGTTTTTTTAAAGTGACCATACTACTCAGAAACAGTAGTGGCTCAGGCTTGGCTAGAATACTGAATTTAATGCACTTTACACAGGTATACTGCATGGCTTACTGTATGTCACTATATTAAGATACAGAAATTTTGCGTTCAGTTTTTCTTTGGCAGGAATTGGTAGAAAAAGAAAAAAATCTAAGTAAAAGCTAGAGATTATTTTGCCATGCTGCTTTTAAGAATACATGTTTTTCATTAGACTATAAACAAATAATGGTAAAGTGGTCTGAGTCTATTTACTATAACACCCTTTTTTGGCAAGAAACTGAGGGAATTCAGGTTCCTAATACAGTGTGTTTATTTTATGAAAAGTCACATTAGGACAAAGTTAGCTCTCCTAATATTTTATTCTAGGTATTGCAACTTTTATACAAGCTTTGTATTTTTCTTTCATGCATTTTATTCAGTTAATTTTCTTGATACAGTTTTACATTATCAGAATATTCAAAATTATCTAAAGTTACTAAAATTCCTGAAATATAATTGAATTTTGGATAACTTAAATTGTATTAGCTGTTGAAATGAGCTTCTTAAAATCAGTAAAAATATAATGCTACTACTGAATTTTTTCTGCATGAAATGTTTTTCATACTTTTTGAAAGGAATTTGGATACTTACAAATCAATAAACACTAATTTTACTTTTAAAATTTATAATGCCCTTGACTTTGAAAAAATTTTTTTTCTATTACCTTCATTGTATTTCTGTGTGTGTCTTCTCCCCTCTCCCCCCACCCCTAACAATAGCTATGGTATGACAGGACCTTGCTGGAACTTTCAGTAAGTTGGCTTTGTCTTTTTCAAACTTCCCATAGGTCATCCATGCATGTCAGTAGTGGCATATAAATGGTACTTTCAACAATTCCATGCCATCAGCCTCCTTGCCTGCACTGATGTCACCTTAACTGGTATTTACTAAGTGAATTGTCTTTCCCATTCCATGCTTGTTACTCATTGTACGTTTCAGCAGCAACTGAAATGCTTTCTTAAAAAAAGATTAGTGTTACTATTTTTTCACTTTTATTTTGTCATTTGGATGAGTTTGGTTTCCTTCAGGGACTGTTAGCCTTTTTTTTTTTTTTTTTTTTAATGGCATAAATCACTGCTATGTAGATATATTAAGATGACTTTGTTTTGTGAGGCAGGATGTCCATTAGGAATGATACAGATGATCATTTCTGGAATTGATTCTTGGCAGGATCATTAACCCTTTCATCTCATTGAGCACATTATAGACATAGTATTATTTCAGCGACTTCATATAGTCCTTAGTAAGATTGTAAACTAAATCTATGGAAAATTTTGTTTTAAATTTATACAGAAAGCAACATTTCATGTTTAAATATGGGAAGTACTACATATGTGAAATTGAGATACATTGTTTAATCTTTATGTTATAAAATACTCTGAAAAGCTTGAGTTAACTTTTATATTTTTAAGTATTTAGAAAAGTATCATCTTCCTTTCATAAATAAACATGTCTAGGAAGAAAACTGCAATTTTTGTGACTTTTGTGGGAAAGTAAGAAGTCTTGAGGTCAAAATGTCATTTTCTTAATATACCTCACTTCCTACAAAATAGTAACTTCCTGTATTGTGGTAAGATTTTATAGACTAGTTCTAGAATAGTTACAATTAGATTGATCTTTCATTAACTCTAGCACCTTAGGGAGGTACCATTCAGGTTTTGCTTTTTTGATTTTTCATTTTACAAAATAGCCTATTAAACACTATATCATCTAGAACCTTCCACCGAGCTTGAGGACCTTTTTGTTTAAGGATCTCCATGTAACTAACCTACTTGTAATCTCCCTGTTACAGTATTATGGGAATATTAATACATCATTTTGTTTTCAGTATTGGATAGGAATAATATTAAATTTTTCTGGTTCTGGTAAGTTATATTAATTTAAGTTGTATAAGATACCCATCGACTGAATATCTGTGTGTTTATTGACTTATCTGGATAAGTTTCTGAAATATAAGGGGGAGAAAGTAAAAAAGTCTTTGATTTTTCTTTGATCATATCCCTTGACAGTGTACTTTTAAGGTGTTTACTTTTTTTTCTTATAGCCACAGGTGTATTCCACTATGTGCTTTACAACATTTGTGTTTTGAAAGACTTTTCACCTTAATTCCATTATTTTTGTTTGTTTTTTGTTTTTGCTCAAGATTAGATTCTTAAGTATATACCCTTTTAATACACCTTGTTTTCCCTGTTGTCTGTACCCGTCTTCCCCAAAAGCCCTAGTTAAAGGCATTTTAAATATTTGATATTCTTAAGTACGTTATCAAAATGTCAGTTTTCTAATGCTACTTTTTTAAGTTGATAACGTTAGATAATTATGATATCAGAATGGGTGCACATACCAGCAGCCAGTATGTTCCGTTAAAATTTGTAATATTAAAGACATTTAAAATTTTTAACTGTTTCAGTATTAGTATGTTTGCATGGTATATTTTACATTTGAGGAAAAAGCATTATTTTAAATGTAGCTTCCAAAAGCTTGATCTGACAATAAGAGTATTAAGAAGGTTCAAACAAAGCATAGGTTATAGCAGAAACTTTTTTTTTTAAGATTTTATTTATTTATTTGAAAGAGAGCAAGAGCACACAAGCCAGGGGGAAGGGGCAGAGGAATAGGGAGAAGCAAACTCCCTTAGTGGGGTTCAGTTCTGGGACCCTGGGATCATGAGCCTGCTTATTCCTCTGCCCTCTCTCTATGTCTCATGAATAAATAAATAACATATTTAAAAAATAATAAAAAGCTTACATTTTCCTTTTTTGTTTAAAGCTCACTGTTAATTTTTAGGAAGTATTAATCTGATAACTTCATTTTAAAATTATTGGCCATCTGACTCTGAGGCATTACACTTATTTTTATTTTTACTTTTAAGATTTTATTTATTTCAGAGAGAGAGAGAACACAAACAGGAGGAGAGGAAGAGGGAGAGGGAGAAGCAGACTCGCCACTGAGCAGGGAGCCCATAGGATGCAGGGCTCGATCCCAAGACCCTGGGATCATGACCTGAACCAAAGGCAGATGCTTAACAGATTGACCCACCCCAGGAGCCCCAAGGCATTACACTTTTAACAAAACTTAAATTTAATTCAATTAAATTATCTTTCTTATTTTTTAAAGTAAATTTCAGAACTTGCATGCTTTTTCTTTGTATTTCAGAATATTCTGTTTATGTGGATAAGGTCAGCTAGAGAATTCTGTTCTATTTTTGTTCTTTAATACAGTTAATACTTTATTTAAAAATCATGATTTGAGGATTTTTAAAAATGTATTTTAAGCATTTTTAAATTTAACTTTATTTTTAGCATTTTAACAGCATATCTATATAATATTCATTTAAAAATATTCCCAGATTTAGCACAAATTGGTCATTTGCTTGTTCTTGTTACTATACTTTTTTAAATTAAATCTCTTCAAAAAGTTGAATTTTAATGCTTACGTTCCAAATATTTTCATAATGTTTTAGGATGAACAGAATTTTTTGCTTGCTTATTTGTTGACTTGTTTTTAAAGCCAACAAACAAGGTCTCATTTGATCTGTAAAATAAAAATTGAATAAACTCAAGTTGTAATTCAGAGATTGTCATACACTAGTAGGCAATAGAGTGACATAACTAATGGCCCCTTTTGTGGGGACCTTCAATATCCATATGTTTGTAACACCAGAGCTGACGATTTTTCTGTAGGTGATTTAAAGTTTTAGTCTAACATTTTGGTGCCAAAGAACTTTCCTATTTATAATTTACAGCTTACCAGTCCTACTACAGAGTGGAGCCCCAGCCATCCAGGAGAAGATGCAGTGGTGTCTTTTGCTGATGTTGGATGGGTAGCTAAAGAAGAAGGAGAATGTTCAACGAGACGAAGGTTAGTCTGGAAGGCTATCAGAAATGAGATGCAATATTTATCATTTTAAAAGGTGATACATTTGCAGTATTTCCACTTAGTAGCCTAATTTGATCTCTAGTAATTAAGCCAATTGTTTTTCTCAAGCGGTTTTATTGTCTGTTCATTTTAAAGACTCAGCTAGTATTTATGAAGTTCCTAGAGACATTATAACTGTGTCTTAAGTCCTTATCATAGAATTGCCTACCCTTCAAAAGTTTAATATGAAACAAAAATCAACTGTCATAAAAATGTTGAGATAAGTAATTATAATGGTTTTATTGGAGCAGAGGAACCTGTGGGTCATATTAGGGAATTTGTATAAACACTGGAGAAGGCTTCCTAAAAGTTGTGTCAAGAAGAGTTTTGTTTCAAAGGACATGAAGTGTAAAAGTTAGAGTGATGCTTCCATTTATTTGAAAGAGCCTGAATAAATTATTGACTATGCTTCAGTCTATTAAATAGTCATGCAGCATATTCAACTCTTTCTTACTAGACCTCAAAGATACAGAGATAAAATAAGACACTGATTTCCAGGAATATTTCTTGTGCTGGAGGAGATTAAAAAGGAAATAAACAATGTTGATACTATAAAGTTAGTAAGTAAATACAGAAGGCCACTGTGGGATGAGAGAGGTTTGGCAAGACTTGGAGGAAAGGATGCTAAAGATGAAGGACAACCCGCTGAGGTAGGAGAGTTTCATGGAAGGGAGTCAACTAATGACCAGTGTCAAATACTTAGAGGCTAGGTAAATTAAAAAATGAGCTAATTTCAGTTTTGTCTTGCATTTGGAAGATAATCATTGACTTTAGCAAGAATAATTTTATTTGAATGCTATTAGCTGAATATAATGAGGATCAAACAATCCAAGAGCAAAGAAGGAATTTTATTTGAATGACAATTAGAAGTAAGGACATAGTGGTAGATGAACACAGACCAGGTATTGCAGGATTAGTAGGTAAAGACCCTTTCTTTTTAAAGATGTTCATTTTTTAAATTAAGCTTTTCATTTTGAGATAATAGATTCTTCACATACAGTTGTAAGAAATAATATAGAAACCTTTCTTATGCTCTTTGCCCAGTTTTTTCCAGTGATAAGATCCTGCAAAAATGCTACAGTATTACAAGCAGGATGTTGACACTGATAAAAGTCAAAATGCAGAACATTTCTATATCTCATATCCCTCATGTTCTCTTATGGCTGCACCCACATCCCTTCCCTCTCCAACCTCTCCTTAATAACTGTCACTTATCTGTTCCCTGTTTTCATAATTTTGTCATTTCAAAAATGTTGCATAAATTGAATCATACAGTATGCAACCTTTTGGGACAGGCTTTTTTCACCAAGCATGATTCTCTAGTGATTTGTCCAGATTGTTATATATGTTGTATATGTGTGTGTGTGTGTGTGTATTTATATTTATATGTTATATATATGTGTGTGGGGGGGTGTATAAAATCAGTAGTTTTTTTCCTTTTTAGGACAGAGTATTAGTATGGGTGAACCATAGTTTGTTTGACCATGCCCAGTTGATGGACATCTGGATTGATTCCATTTTTTTTTTAAGATTTTATTTATTTATATATTCATGAGAGACAGAGGCAGAGACAGAGGCAGAGACAGAGCAGGCTCCATGCAGGGAGCCCGACATGGGACTCAATCCCAGGTCCCCAGGATCACGCCCTGGCGGAAGGCGGCGCTAAACCGCTGAGCCACCCGGGCTGCCCTGATTCCAGTTTTTGACTATTATGATTAAGGTTGCTGTGATCATTTGTGAACCGGATTTTGTTTTTGTTTTTTTGTTTTTATTTAAAAGATTTATTTATTCATTCATGAGAGACCCACAGAGAGAAGCAGAGACACATAGGCAGAGGGAGAAGCAGGCTCCATGCAGGGAATCCGATGCAGGTCTTGATCCTGGGACCCCAGGACCACACCCTGAACCAAAGGCAGATGCTCATCCACTGAGCCATCTAGGCATCCCTGTGAACTGGATTTTGAATGAATATAAGTTTTTATTTCCCTGGGATGAATGCCTGTGAATATAATTGGTGGGTCATCTCAGTCATAAGATAGTTGCATGTTTACGTTTTAAGAAACTGACAAACTATCTTCCAGAGTGGCTATACCATTTTACTTTTTACTAGAAATGTATGCAATATTCAGATGCATCTTCACCAGTATTTGATGTCGTCATTCTTTTCTCTTGCCGATCTAGTAGTTGTGTAGTGATATTTCATTGTGGTTTTAATTTGTGTTTCCTTAATGGCTAATGACTTTGAACATCTTTTAAAGAGCTTACTTGCCATCTTTATTACCCTTTTGGATAAAGCGTCCTTCATGTCTTGTGCCCATTTTCTAATTGGGATTTTTTTCAAGAGTTATGTGTTTTAGATATGAGTCCTTGTCAAATAATGTAGTTTGTAAACCTTTCTCCCACATATAATGAGACAAATGAAAGCTTGTTTTTTCATCTGTTTAATAGTCTTTCACAAAGCAAAAGCTTTTAATTTTGCTAAAGTCCAATTTACCAATTTATTTCTTTTGTGGATCATGCTTTTGCTGTCAGTGTGAGAACTATGGGCCTACTGTGAGAGTCTACAGATTTCCCTCTCTCTTAAATCTGTCCTTTGTTAATTAATTAATTTTTTTTTATTTAAAGATTCTATTTATTCATGAGAGACACAGAGAGAGAGGCAGAGACACAGGCAGAGGGAGAAGCAGGCTTCCTGCAAGGAGCCGGATGTGGGACTCCATCCCGCATCCCGGGATCATGTCCTGAGCTGAAGGCAGACGTTCAACTGCTGAGCCACCCAGGCATCTCTCTCCTTTGTTAATTTAATTATTAGACCAACCAAAAGAAGCAAGGAGGAGTAGTGGGAAATTTTCCCTCCCAGACACCATCTTCTTTACAGCACAGGCCATTGCACAGTATAAAGAGTAAATTACCGGAAAGAATATTTATTTCCTGTGGGGAGGTACTTTCCTTTTGAGTTCAGATTGTAAGTTAGGTTAAGACAAATGAAAACAACCAAATGTTAGCTTATTGAGAGAACCAGTCTATTTCCATTGCTTTTGACAAATCATAAACAGGGTCTGAAATAAGAAAACATTATGTGTTTGAAAAAATCATGAAGTTGGTAAATTGGTGTTTCTGTTGCCTTTTTTTTTTTTCCTGAAATCTTCATTGGTTAAAGACAGAAACTAGTTCATTTCTACAAAGGAATGCCATGAACTTTTAAGTCAAGCACTGTTACACTTTTGTGAAATATCAGTCAAAAAGGATATTATCATGAGAGAAAAATAAAGATATCTAGAGAACTTTACAGGCATTTAGCTACTCAGCTGTCCTTCATTAGTGTTTTTATATATTCAGTAATATAAAGGAAGCAGAAGATGAAGCCTAGGGTAAAACCAGAAAACAGGCACATTTTAATAACTTGGTGAAGAGACAAAGATTCCACTGTCACAGAGACACTCACTTTGCTTAATTTCAATTTAAAGGGTTACTTAAATGCATGGCCTTTTGGAAATTTAATTTTATGTTGTGGTTCTTCTGAACTTGTCAGTTGGTGCCAACCTGTGATAATCTACTTTTCAGTGTCAGATTCATTTACTCCTTGAAGAATCCTGAAATAGCTTACTCTAATATTTTTCCCAGGAATTGGCAGTAGTCCAGAATTTTTTTTTTCTGTCCTTGTGTTCTTTACTTGTTTACAGTGTGCCCCCATCCAGTGAATTTGATGGCATGTGTCTGAAACTTTTGATATTTTCCTGATTCTTCATTTGTTCTGGTAACATGTCTATATATTCCTATTTTACTTATAATGGAAGAAGTCCTCATGGACTTAAGTTATGGCTTGAACTGGTCTGTTTTGCATGATTTCTTTCATTATCTGTTTTATTGGAGGAGACTGGAGGAGAACATTGATCTATCAGATTTCTCAATGTTGGGATGTGGCCTTTTTTTTTTTATATTTTTGTTTACATTTAAGTCTGTGATCTTTTGTATGGTTTTAGTGTCAAGATGATACTAGCTTCATAAAATGAGTTGAACAGTGCTTTTCTATGGTCTGAAGAGATTGTATAGGAGGGATACTATTTAAATATTTCATAGTTTTCTCCAGTGAAATCATCTGGGCCTGGAGACTTCTTTTTGGTGTGTTTTAAAATTATGAATTCAGTTTCCTTAAAGTTACAGGATTGTTTTATCAATTTCATGTTAGATGAAATGTAGTAATTTGTGCCTCTCAAGAAATTGGTCCATTTCATTTAAGTGGTCAAATTTATGTGTACAATATTTGTAGTATTTCTTGTTTTGTTGTTTACAAGGTCTATAGTATTCCCCATTTCATTCTTGATAGTAGTAATTTGTATCTTTTTTTTGACTTGTCAATTGTATTAAGCTTTTCAAAGAACCAGTTCTTTTTGTTGATGTTCCTGTTTTTCTGTTTTCAATTTTATGGATTTTTTTTTCCTCCTAATATTTTCTTCTAGCTGTTTTGAGTTTATTTTGCTCTTATTGTTCTAGGTTTTTAAAGTGGGAGCTTACATTATTAATTTGAGACTTTTCCTTTTTTCTAATATAGTAGTCCTCCTTTGTGGTTCACTTTCCACAATTTCAGTTACCCACAGTCAGTTGCAGTCCAGATGCAGATGATTCTCCTCTGACATATCAGAAGATCAGTAGTAGCCTAATTCTACATGACAATGCCTATATCATTCACCTCACTTCATCTCATCATGTAGGCATTTTATCATGTGTCATCACAAGAAGGATAAGTACAGTACAATAAAAGTTTGAGAGAGATCACCTTCATGTAACTTTTATTACAGTAGATTGTTGTAATTGTATTTTATTAGTAGTAATAATCTCTTACTGTGCCTAATTAAACTTTATCGTCAGTGTATATGTAGGCAGGAACATAGTATATATAGTATTCAGTATTCTTTACAGTATCAGGCATCCTTGGGGGGTCT